TCTAGATTCCCTCTCAAAGGCTAGCCATTCTAGGTTTAAAAATTGTCAGAGTTTCCATTTGTTCAGGTTTCCATCAATGCCTCATGAAACTTCTTCAGACTTCGTCCAAGAGACTTGCCTCCTCCAGACTTCATCTAAGGACTCAATACCCAAGTGACAGCTGCTGCCTGCTGCCTTCTCCCAGAGTGGACCACATCTCAGCCTTTTACCCCTACGACGCCCCTTGCCAGCAGGAAGTAGCCAGAGAGAATCTTCGCCCTTTTTCATAATTATCAAAAGGCTGGAATGTAAAGCCCATTCCTGGATAGCGAACAGACCTCGCCCAGTACCTGTGTTACCTAGGCAACTGGGACACCTGGAAGAGGTCACATCTGCATCCGCTGATGTGGCCACACCTTTCTCCCACCTAGTCCCACCTCTTACCTGGTCCCACTTCCCTTTACCTGGACACACCTTTCCTCCCTCCCGCCCCCCCCCCATATAAGGCCTAACCTGGGGCCAGACGCTCTCTTTTGCCAGCCGCGTGGAATGCCAACCTTGCCTGGTCCCAGCAGGTCTACTGAATAAACCTACCCCTTACCTGAATACCACTTGCGTGGTGCAGTTCTTACTCGGCTACTTCTTCTTAAAAAAACCTAACAGATAGATCCTTGAAGGGGACACATAAAAGTTCTCTTTCATTTGTCATGTCTGGGCCTAAGTTTCTTCCCTCAAAAGACTACATTAAGGCTGGGTATAGGTGGCCCACACTTATAATCCTAGCTACTCAGGAACTGAGATCTGAGGATTGAGGTTTGAAGCCAGTCTGGGCAGATCAATCTATGAGGATATTACTTTTAATTAGCAAGCAATAAGGTAGAAATGGAGGTGTGGTACAAGTGGTAAAATGACAGTCTTGAGCTCAAGCTGTAGTACCAAACCTAAAGAAGGGAAAAGGGAAAGACTACATTAAATCACCTCTGGAGCAGCCAAGAGTCCTCAATACTGTGGTGGAGTCCTGGAGTCCTGGCCTTTTCCCCTTCAGGAGCTAAGGTTCGCCTTGTGTTAGCATGATTATAGGTACCCTTTCAGACTTTCTGATTTAAAAAAAAACACACACACACACTGATGAAAAATGCCATGCCCTAGAAAATGGGGACCAGCAGAAATTTTGTAATGGAAAGAACTCTGTAGAAAATTCCAATATCATCAGCTGACCTGACAGCTGATATAGTGTATAGAGCAAAGTACAAGATCCTAAATTTTACCCTTGTTCTGCACTGTAACTAGATGTATGAACATTCTGTTCACACAAAGCAGAAAGACATTGACATGACTCTAAAATGCTGTTTCTTTCAGACACATAAGTAGTGTCTAAGTCCCTGCCTTGTCCACCATAGCTTTACCACCTTCAGTGGCTAGATTCTAGCAAGGTGTCCTTATGATCCTGCTGTAACCTCCTAGTAGTGTTATACTTGTATGGTCAGTGCTCAATGGTGATTAACAGGTAGAATAAAATTATTTTCTCTGTGAGTGTCTGTGTGGATACACACTGGGCCATGATATAAGCCATATTTATCTCTGTGGGTCATAATAAAAAAGACCTGAAAAACCACTGTTGTATGGGCAACAAAAATGTAGGAAGCAATTTTTTTCAGACTCACTGCTTTGTCACAAGACAAACCACCTTAGGAGGCCTGCGTTTGAGACTTTTGTTCAATTTATATTTACATTGGCAAAGGCAAAAATAGTAATTCATGCTACTTTGTTAAAGATGGTAAGGAAGACTATTCAAGAGCAGAGCATTGAGAGAGATGTAGGAACCACTGTGCTGAGATCTTGCAGTGCGGAGGAGGTTCCACTGTGAATCAAACATGGACAAGTAGAAATCTGTAGCCATGGAGCACAGTGGGGTCAGTGGATAGAAAATCCTAGGAGGAAACATTTAGGGGAGAGGGGAATTCTAGGTGAACGGATTTGACACTGTTTGACAGTGATACTGAGCTTAGGGGTAAGGAATTTGTTTCTATATTTAGGGTGAACAACTTTTGTCAAACTGTTCTCAATGAACAAAATCACATAGACTCAACATAAAGCCCAAGGTCAAGGTTAGTCAGAAAGGACTCACCAGAGTCTGACTCAAGTATAGTCAAAGGAGAGTCTTTTCAATAATTATCTCTAGCAAATCGGTTTTCCATTGGCAATAGTGATATAAACCTCTCTTTTAAATTTTTTTTAGAAATAAAATCTTGTTCAAGTTTAATAGAACATATTAAGTGAATCACAGAATATACACAATTTAATTCTGGAAAGTGATTTGGAATTGTTTGTACTGCTGGAAATATCTCATTTAGTCAAACCTTCTATATTATATGGGTAACAAAATGACTGTAGTCCTTAAGACGTGATTACTTTGTTACTAGCTCTAGGTCTCATGGCTAGTGTGGTAATCAGCTCATGCTGCTATAATAAATTACAAGAAACTGGGTGGCTTATGAACTACACAACGATTTACTTTTTCTCATTTGTGGAAGTGGCAAGTCTTGAGCCTAAGGTGCTGGCATAGCGAGGTATAGTGAGAGTTCTGGTGGTGGTTGCAGACTTTCTGGTTATATTATTTTACATGCAGGGAAGCTGCACCTTCATGACCTAATCTAATCCTAATGCTCTCCCCAAGTCCCAAAGACAACCCCCCCCCCCCCTTCTAACACCTTCACTCTGGTGATAGAATTTCAGTCTAGAATGGAGTGTGAAGAGGGTGGGTACAAAACATTCAGTTCCAAACAGGTAGAAACTAGAAGTTCTTGGTTCACGATTAAAAAGCAGGGCTTCTAACTATACTCGCTGGATAACCAACCCAGTATTTTCACTTACTAAAGGAAGCAGAATATTTAAGATCCTTCATAAATCTGTTTTAAGTGGTCTGTGGTTCAGTCAATGAATTACTTCTTCGAAGCAGCTTAAGAGAACTATAAGGACTACCTCCATATGGTTACTGAAACATGTCTTCTGCTTAAGGTGAACCGATATGGGGGGGGTGGCGGAGGGGGGGACTACACAGGGGGCTATGGGGTAGGCAGGACAACTGGAAGCTTAGGAAGCACTTTGGAGCTTTCTGTGTTGTACCTGTTGGGCGAGGGAGGTGTGGAGCAGCTCACTTCAGGATCAAGCTCACTTGATAAACGGAGAAAACAATACTATGTAACTATGTGAATTGCTTTGTCTTTGCTGTATAGCTTTGTCGTCAGCCCATGCTGTAATGACTAAAGAAAAGGAAATGCCAATCAAGTGTAACACCTGGGACCCCCTTACCCATGCAATGCCTCAGCTCCTCAGGCAGAAGATGTATATATATATACACATATATATATATGTATATATATACGTATATACACACATATACACATATATGTATACACATATACACATATATGTATACACACATATATACACACACACATATATGTATATATGCTCAAAGCTGCACGTGGAGCTCAGGTAAAAAGTGGATGGCTTTCAGAGTGTATCCTGTTCCCAAGGCCAATATTTACATTATGGACTCACTGCCACCTTGGGTACACTTAACTTTATCAGGCGCCCGTGTATGCCATGGCATCTTCCGGACTTGAGGACTTTGACGGAAAACTGGGGCCAGGAGAAATGCTTTGGATAAAATGCTTTGTGCTGCTGAGAATGCACTCCCCCCGCCCCCCTCGCTTATGCTAAAGGCATGAGCCGGGCTGACCCACTTGGAGCCTGGCTTTCCCTGGCCTGCAGGATCCTACGAGACCCCCCAAGAGTGAGCGGCCGCCGACCACGCGGGCAACACACGGTGCCACCCCGGGAGGCGGGTCCTCGTTCCGCACCAGCAGCAGAGACAAATAAAAATGGAAGAGCCTTCTCGAAGGAAAGCAGGCCTTGGGCTGGGATGGGGCGGCCTGATTTTTTTTTTTTTTCCTGTGAGTGTGGGGGGGAGGGCGTGAAGAACGACCGGGTGAAGGCGCAGCTTTGGGAAGCCCGATTCATTCAAACCCCGAGGACAGCAAACCCCGCCTTCCCCACGCCGCCGAGCGCTCAATCGCCGCGCGCTCGGGGTGGGAGCTCGCCCCGCGGGGAGCGGCTTGGAACAGAGGAGGCGGCCGCAGAGGTGGCTTGGGCGGCGGATAGGCCCAGACAAACAACACCCATTCCCCCTCCTCCGCACTCAGTTCAACTCCCATTCGGCCCCGGCCACGCCCTGCGGCCGCCGCCCCCTCGGGCAGCTTTCCGTTCAGCAGCCTGGCCACGGCCGGGGGCGGGAGGAGGGCGGTGCCTCCTCCAGGCCCACCGCGGCCTCCAGAAACTACAAGGTCCGAAAGACTTTGCGGCTAGGCCCGCCCCTTTTCTCCCACCACTCAGCGCGCGTCAGCAGGAGCTCAGCCAATAGAGGACGAGCCAAGGAAAAAGGGCGCCCGGGTCCGGATGCGCCTGAGGAAAGCCATGCTCGCGGCGCGGGGGCAGCGGGCCGTCCACTCGGCGCGCGGAGCTGTCGGCGTTCCGCGCGCCCTCACACCCGCCCCTTCTGCTTCCCTCAAGCGAGAGCTCCACTTTTGTCTTTAGTGGCCACTCGGAGGGATGCGGGAGCCGGGTTTTGAGTGGAGGGCGCTGGGAAATGAGTAGGGGGCGGGATATCCTGAGACAACAAGTTTGGCTGTATGAAGGGCCTGCCGGCGGCGCGCCTGAGCTAGGACGCCGAAGGAAGGAGCGCCGGAGACGCCGAGGGAGGACGAGAAACGCGGTCGAGAGCACAGCCCCGGGAAAGGGGGTGGAGAGGGGCGGCCCCGGCGCCCCGGCCCCCCGGCAGGTCGGCGGCCAATCCGCTGGGGGAAGGGGTGGAGAGTCGGCGGCTCCGGCGGAGAGAGGCCGAGGGGGGTGGGGAGTCGGCCGGGCTCGCGCCGCCCTGGCCCCGCCCCCGGCCCGCGCCGCCGCCCGCGCCGCGCGCCGCCGCTGTCAATCAAGGGCGAGTCAGCCGGGCTCGGGCGGAGAGAGGAGCTGCTACGCCACAGCCCAGCGGCGGCCATTCGCGGAAAAAGAGGCAGAGCCTGTGCCAGCTACAGCCTCCTCCGAGCCACCGCGGGCGGGCGGGCGGGCAGGCGGGCGGGACCGGCCTCTCCTCCCGCCTCGCCCCCACCCCCACCCACCTCTATCCCAGTGTCTCTGTCGGAGGGTTTGTCCTGTTAATGCGGGATGAGCGGTACGTATTCTCCACCCCCCTCGGTCTCCTTCGCCGCCTCCTTCCCTCCCTCCTTCCCTCCCTCCCCAGACCCTGCTCGGTTCTCCCCCTCCCCTGGGGCCGCTGCGATGCTTTACGGGGAGGAGGAGAGGGAGGGAGGGAATGAGGAGGGGGGGAGGGAAGGAGGCTTGTGTTTTGTCTTCACGTCGGAGCGGGAACAACCTCCTTCTGGGTGTTGCTCTGGAGCCGATGGGTCGGGTTTCAAACCACGTTTTGTGATCTTCCCCCTCTTCCCGTCCTTCTCCCCCACCCCCTGCCGGTGTGCACGGATCGCGGGTTTATGGAGATTAATGTTCGAGGGGGGGGGGGAGGAGAGTGAGGGGGAGGGAAGGACGAATAATAATAATAATCCTGGTAACCTGTTGTCGTGTGTGTTGGTGGGGGGTTTGTTGCAGATCAGAAGAAGGAGGAGGAGGAGGAGGCGGCGGCCGCGGCGATGGCTACAGAAGGAGGGAAAACCTCTGAGCCAGAGAATAACAATAAAAAACCTAAAACCTCAGGCTCCCAGGTAAAAGAAAACATAAAAAAATTCAACCCAAAACATAAGAGGGAGAGAAAGAGAGGGAGTTATGTCCTTTAAAACCCCAGAAGTAAAGAGCAATAAAAATGTTTATCCACGCAAAGCATCCTTTTATGCGTGAGGAACTTAAAATTGTACATTTCTGAAGATTGCACATAGCTGAGTGTATAATATTGTTTAAAATTACATCAGGTACTTAGACTGTTAAGAAAATTGTGTATTTTACCAAGGGCATTTTGAGTTGAGGAGAGTAACACTTTTAACAAAGTTTGTTAGACATTTTCTTTTATTTAAACTTTACATGACAGATTTGCCTCCTTACTCATATAGCTCTTACCTGCTTTTGTTTATGTTTCTTTAAAAAAAAATTCTGCTGCTTCTGAGTAAGTTCTCATGTGTAGAGCTGTCAAAAGAAATAAATAACCCCTTCCAACTATTGGTTTCCACTAAATCCACCCACTTTTTTCCCCCCCCCTCTCCTTTACGATCCCATCTTGGGTAGGACTCTCAGCCCTCTCCTCTGGCTTTACTGGCAGCTACTTGCAGCAAAATAGGGACTCCTGGTGAAAATCAAGCAACTGGACAACAACAGATTATTATAGATCCAAGCCAAGGATTGGTACAGCTTCAAAACCAACCACAACAGCTAGAACTGGTAACAACACAACTTGCTGGAAACGCTTGGCAACTTGTTGCCTCCACTCCTCCTGCTTCAAAAGAAAATAACGTTTCTCAACCAGCTTCTAGTACTTCTAGTTCTTCCAGCAGTAATAACGGGAGTGCATCTCCTACAAAAACTAAATCAGGTAATTCTTCCACCCCAGGTCAATTTCAAGTCATACAAGTACAAAATCCCAGTGGTAGTGTACAGTATCAAGTGATTCCACAACTTCAGACAGTAGAAGGTCAGCAAATTCAAATCAACCCAACTAGTAGCTCATCTCTACAGGACTTGCAGGGTCAAATTCAGCTAATTTCTGCAGGTAATAATCAAGCTATACTCACAGCTGCTAACAGGACAGCTTCTGGGAATATTCTTACTCAAAACCTGGCAAATCAGACAGTTCCAGTCCAAATTAGACCTGGTGTTTCAATACCACTGCAATTACAGACCCTTCCAGGTACTCAGGCTCAAGTTGTAACAACTCTACCAATTAACATTGGAGGAGTGACTTTAGCTTTGCCAGTCATAAACAACGTGACTACTGGAGGAGGGACTGGACAAGTTGGCCAGCCTGCTACTACTACTGATAGTGGGACTTCCAATGGGAATCAGTTAGTTTCCACACCCACAACTACCACTGCTTCAACTAGTACTATGCCGGAATCTCCCTCTTCCTCCACTACCTGCACAACCACTGCTTCTACATCTCTAACTAGCAGTGACACATTAGTGAGCTCAGCAGATACGGGCCAGTATGCAAGCACATCAGCCAGTAGTTCTGAACGCACCATTGAAGAATCGCAAACACCTGCTGCTACCGAGTCTGAAGCCCAGAGCTCCAGCCAGCTTCAGCCCAATGGGATACAGAATGCACAGGATCAGTCAAATTCTCTGCAGCAAGTGCAGATTGTAGGCCAGCCTATCCTACAACAGATCCAGATCCAACAGCCTCAGCAACAGATTATTCAGGCTATTCCACCACAGTCATTTCAACTCCAGTCAGGGCAGACTATTCAGACCATCCAGCAGCAGCCTTTGCAGAATGTTCAACTTCAAGCAGTAAATCCGACTCAGGTGCTTATCAGGGCTCCAACTTTAACACCTTCAGGGCAAATCAGTTGGCAAACTGTACAGGTTCAGAATATTCAGAGTCTTTCAAATTTGCAAGTTCAGAATGCTGGGTTATCCCAACAGTTAACCATCACCCCAGTGTCTTCAAGTGGTGGCACAACTCTTGCTCAGATTGCTCCTGTGGCTGTTGCTGGTGCCCCAATAACTTTGAATACTGCCCAGCTTGCATCAGTGCCTAACCTTCAAACAGTGAGCGTTGCCAACCTGGGTGCTGCAGGCGTTCAAGTGCAGGGAGTTCCAGTAACAATCACTAGTGTTGCAGGTAAGTTACATCTTTTTCTTTTTAAAGTACTTTTAAAATAGTTGCTAGTAAGGAACCATTGTTGCATTGATAAACATCTCTGAAGTAAATGGTAATCATAAGGAATCAGAGCCAAACAGGATTATTATGCCCACAACCTTTATAATTATTAGCGCTACCTGTTTACTTTTGTATCTTTTAGTACTCTGTTTTATGTGTGAAATTTGTAAGTTAAGAATTCTAATGGAACAAATTTTCCTGACTAAAACCATAATTGTCTTCTGTAATTTAGAGATCATATTTGAGTACACTTGAACTCTTCAGAAATAACACTAGTTAAAATGATGTTTATCTCTTGTGGAAGGAAAGCAGGTTTAAATTTAATTGGTATATAGTTGTGAGCTCATGAAAATAGTCATTCTGCGTAATAAGGCTGGCCTTTTGAAAATTGGAAGTTATTTATGGTGCCTCAGCATCTTGTCCCTCATGCTTTTTTATTATATGGAGTTGTTTTAGACTATATACTGTTACAGTTGAGAGAGAAATTTAAGTTTACAATTGCTCCATTAACTTTTATATCTAGTTTCCTGTACAATCAGGATTTGTTCTGGTTTATGAGTCAATAGTCCTTCACTTAGAAAATTTTATTTAAGTAAATCTTATGGATGTTATAGTATTTATAGATGTTTCGTGTGAGGTTGGTAGACAGCAAACATGTAGACAGTAAAATGTCACAAATTTGAACTAATTGTAGGCAGGATATTTTTAAACCAATTAAAAAAGCAATTGTTATGCAAATAAATAGATAAATGAAAAACTAGTCATATTAAGTAGTTTAATCTTTGGGGTACCAGTCTTATTGTACTAACAATGCCTTTTGTTTTCTAGTAATTACATTCTTTACATTGATTGTGATTTGGTGAAAACTTTGTTGTCGTTTTAGTGCCTTTGATAGTTTCAGACCTTGTTAATTAAATATTTCTATTTTGGTAATATGAGATAAATACACTTGTCACTTTTGGATGACCTTGAAGTAAGTTGCAGAAAAATCACACTAGGGGTCTTTTATAAGTAAAATTTACATGTAAAATTGGAAATTGCTACCAAGAACCTACTGATTGAGAACCTAGTTTATAATTTTGATCTAGATATTTGCTATCTAGAGATTAAGCACTATGCAGTAGAATTTTGTGTGACATTTGAAATGTTACTTCTCTTCTATCCAGTGCATTTGAATGGCTGTTAAGCAGTTACCACTATGGTGGTTTGTGTAACTGAGTAAGAATTTTTACTTTTGTTTAATTTTAAGTAGTGGCCAATAGCTAGATTGACAGTATAGAAATCTAGCCAGTATTTTGAATCTGTGACTTTTCCTCCTGAAACTAATATGGCACTCTAGGTTAGTTTTATAATCCTTAACTTGTCTTCCTATTCTCCTTCTGAACATTAACTGGAGTAGTTCAGAAAAGTGTCTGATTTTAGTGGATTGAATGACAGTTTAAAGCAGAAGTTATTTGACCATTTTAGCTTGACTATTAAGCATTCATTAGTGAACTATGGTTAAGAGTATTGAACAATAATAATTTAAGTTAAAAATAGTCAATTCTTATGTTCTCTAATATCTGTTAGAAGCTAGAGCTTTCCTCTTAATAGTTGAGGATAAGCCACTGTTCTACTGATCTCCCAGCTCAGATTCACTTGAATGGTATGGTCTGGAACTATAGCTTTTGGGATGCAGGGTCAAGAGATTTGCCTGTCAAGTTTTGCAGATCATTCTAAAGCTCCGTAAAGTTGGGAATCAAGGGTCTAATAATCATCAATGAACCTGAAGGTAGAATATGGAAGCTAGTAGGAGCTAAGTTGGTTCACATTCCTTAGAAAAAGAATTTTGCTCATTAATACAATTATATGTTGAAAGGGTTGCTGTGTGCTTAGTCCTCTCACTAAGTGTTATTCCTTTAATGGTAAATTTTTTACTTAATGAATGTACATGCTATAGGAGCTCCACTTAAGTATCTGAGGACAATTGAAGTTTACATAGATTGTGTTTTCTGAAACCCAAAGATTTAAGTTTTGTTTATGTTGTAGAGCTAATGTTCTAACCATTTCAACTACTAAAAAATACATATATTACAAAAAAATACAGATGCCTTTTAAACACCAAAGAAATTAACTCTGATTTCTGTAAGTCAGTATTTAATCAGTAGCTTAAGTCAGTAATTAATCGAAGCCTAGTTTGTGGATCTTATGATACTATTATTTTAGCTTAGCAGGGGTTTTACAGGGTGATGGAAAAAATAGCAGTTTGGGATTGGGATTAATGCCCTGGTATAATGAATGAAGCTAATGAAATTGCTCTTACCATTTGTTTCTTCTGGCTTTATGTTTTAAAGACATTGCGAGTAGAATACCAAATATCTGATGGTCTTCAGATAATTAGCCTGGAAGTTCAGACCCATTACTTTATGCCAGCTACCAGCACCCCACTTGTTTTTTGTTTTGTTTTGGTTCCTGTCTTGGGGCTTGGGCTTGGACTTGGCTTGGGTGCTGTCTCTGACCTTTACCAACTCAAGGCTAGTACTATACCACTTGAGCCACACAACTCCACTTGTGGCTTTTTTTTTTAACCAATTGGAGATAAGAGTCTCACAGACTTTCTTGCCTGGCTGGCTCTGATCCTGGATAGTTAGGATTATAGGCAGAAGCCACCAGCCCTTGGCACAACCCCTTCCCCCCCTCCCCCCCTCCCCCCCCTTTTTTTTTTATTGAGATAGGGTCTCTTTCTGTAGCCCAGGCCATTCTATAACTCAGAATCCTCCTGCCTCAGCCTGAGTGCTAGGGATACAAATTTCCTTCGTTTTTTTTGTTTGTTTGTTTTGTTTTTCTCGGTCATGGAACTCTGGCCAGGGCTCTGTCCCTCAGCTCTTTGGCTCAAGGCTAGCACTCTACCATTTGAGCCATAGCACCACTTCCGGTTTTCGGAGTGGTTTATTAGAGATAAGAGTCTCAGGGCCTTTTCTGCCCAGGCTGGCTTTGGACTGCAAACCTTAGATCTCAGCCTCCTGAGCTAGGATTACAGGCATGAGCCACCGCTGCCCAGCAGTTTTCTTTGTTTTTAAGTACTTCTTTGGTAATTTCATATTTTCCTTTTAGGAGAATGCTATTTAATTTGTAGAAATAAATTAAACTTAATACATTAAAAAATTGTTTTACCTGTCGGTTGTGAGCCTTGAACACTCAGGGCCTGGGCACTGTCCCTAGCTCTTTTGCTCAAGACTAGCACTGTACTACTTTGAGCTGCAGCATCTGGTTTGTGAGTGGTTAACTGGAGATAGTCTCATGTTGACTTTTTTTCTACCCTGGCTGGCTTTGAATTGCAATCCTTACATCTCAGCCTCCTGGGTCGCTAGGATTACAGGCGTGGGCAACTAGTACCTCACTTGTTTAAACTTTTTAAAGGTATATATTTTATTCTAACAGACACATATTTGTACATGTTTATACATATAAGATGTGGTGTGACATGTTAACACATGTATGCATTGTGTAATGACCACATCAGGGTCGTTGATGTATCTGTTACCTCAGCTTTTTTTGTGTGTGTAGGGACCATTCAAAATACTCTGTAGTAGGTATTTTGTAATACTCAATTGTTGTTAACTATAGTTAATGTGCTGTGATGTAGACTATTAGATAGTATGCCTTCTGTCTACCTCCTCTTGTGCACTGAACCATTGTACCTGTTTATAATTCTTTCCCCATTTTTTCCTAGTCTTGGTAGTCTCTGTATTATTTGTTTTTCCTGCAATAAATTTTTAGCTTTCATATACTGGAACATGTTCATGACAAGTATTACCAAGGTTTGAAAAAAAAAATCTTTAATTGCCTATGACAGACTAACGGCTAGTTCAAAGAAAGGGGTTAAATTTTTCTACCATCCCTCCTATTTCACTCTTCAGCAGGTAGGGGATATCTGAATGATTTAGACAGACACAGGAAAAAAAATCTTGTAAGTCAAATGAAATTTAAAGCTAGGGAACTTCATACTAGTTTTATGAAATGAGAACTGCTTTTGTCTTAGTAATGTATTCAGCAAAATGTGTTTCTGTGCTTTGGCGTTATTTGAAAATCTAAATCTCCAGGTCTAGTTAGGGTAATACTAGGAATTAAATACATATCCTTTATACTTTTTTGTTTCCTTATTGAGATTCAGTTTGAAGGAAAAGTAGAAACACTTAGCATGGAGACAGCAACCGTTTCTGCCTTAAGAACCTCCTTTATTTCAACTAAGCGAAGACAGCGAAAGTTTTGCCATTATTTTCACTGTGTCTTCTTGTTACCAAGCATCCCTGCATAAAGTGAATTTCATGAGTTATGGTCATTAAAGAATTGAGAACATTTAGGGACTATTGCTATCTAAATCTGTAATTCACTTGGGAGTGACTAGTAATTTGAATTATCACATTATAGTTCTTTTGCTTCATGAATTTCTTTGTCAATTTCAATGTTTTGTATACTAGTTTTCCCACATAGGAAATTTAGACTTAATAAGATACTGCTGATTGTTTTAAGAAATTTAAATTTCCAAAGTATGAGACCCTGAGTTCAAATGGCAACATTGCAAAAATAAGTAAATCCAAAGTTAGTCTAGGGAGGGGCATATATATATATATATATATATATATATATATATATATATATATGTATGTATATCTTTGTGGTAGACAACTTGCCTGGTATGTGTGATCATTACAAAAAGAAATTAAAAGCCTACCCAAATTCGTGAAAAAGAATTTGGGTTTCTCAGCTAATTCTTCTACTCTCTTACCTAATTCTTACATTGAGAAACCTAGAGATATAGTGTGATTAGTTGGAAGGTATAGTTCTTTATTTCTGGTAAAAATGAGGACCAATGAACATAACTGAAATTTATATTTAATTTGAAACCTAATTTGATCTAATAGAATTAACCTCTTATAGTTAGCTTTCTTATTTTCTAAAAATAGAAAATCAATTTGAGG